TGTATAAGTGTTATTCTCTTCAAGAAGCTGGACTGCATGTGTGCTTCAGTGAGTAAGCCACTATCCCTCAGTTCCAGAAAGTTGTAAAGTAATATTTGTTCATCCCAGATGGTGTGAAATGGAGAGTGGGAAAGGAAGGTAGCTTGCAGAGAATAGGGGAATATGATTACCTTGCCTGATGCAAACTGTTTCTCTTCTGCTTTGTGATTTTATTATGTATCTGCTGTGTTTGGAAATCTACTGCTGCTTCCTCATTGAGATTCCCTGTCTCCTGGATGCTCTATTAGGCAAGAGAAATTCATTTAGCATGAATTAGTCCATAGAGAAAACCCTTGCTCTGTGGGAGTAACCTGCCACAACCTGGTCTTCTCTGGCCAAATGACCGGTCTTGTCTGGTAGTGATGTCGTTACAACATCTCCATTGAAATCCCCATGACCCAGTAATTGTTTTGGAAATGAGTGCAAAGTTATCAGACACCAACTGCTATAATTAGAAAAGGGAAAAACAGACACTTACCAGAGCTAACGTCTTTAGGCTGGAGCATTTATAGCACTTTTTTTTTTTAAAGCCATGGAGTCTTTCTCAGTTTTGCTTCCTCAGACACAGATTGTACAGTTTTTGGATTCTTGCATTCCAGTTTTTGTTACTGCTGTGTGTTCTCTTTCCTTTTTCCCCCTATTTTAATCGGAGTACAAATTGCTGTCAGCACATCGAGTTCATGTGCCAGCCACATTCAGAACAGGGTGTTCTGTGCTCTTCAAAACAAAATTGCTCTAGGGCAGTAAGAGAACAATAAGTCAGAGCTCCAGTTTAAGTGATGTTTTGCAGGCAGACAGGGCTCCCCTGATGTGGTTACACTAGGATTGCACAGCTAAACTAAGATAATTTGGTTTGGTTTGACTTTGTGGGGTTTGAAGGTCTCCCCCCTCTTTTAAGCTACATAAACTTTAAGAGGAGAAAATGCCTCTTTTTAACTTGTTTATTTCTTTATTTTCAAAAAAAAGCACTGAGTAGAAGCATCCTGTATGTACTTTTATTCTCCTTGGGCACGTCATAGATCCTTTTTTCCCGTAAATCATGTTGGTTGGGATTAGCAATAGACCTCCTGAGCCCTAGAGGCCACGCTCCCAATGAGTCATGATGGTTATTATTAAATATTTATTAAGTGAGTATTGCACTAAAAGATGCAAGGTCAAAAGCAACCACAGGTCTTCCGCAGCCAAGGCTGCCACAGTTCTTTTTAGGAGCAATCGTTGACACCATGAATAAAAAGGAATAATTGACCCTAGAGTGAGGCAAGTCTGCCTCTATCACTGAGAGAGGGTCACCCTGTGGCATTTGCAGGCATTTCTGTGGCTTCAAAGCAGTGTGTGAGTTCTTGTCAGCAATCTTGTAGAACTTGTCACACCAGTGTTCCCAGTTTAGAAATGAGTTAACAGAGTGATAGGCTTTGCTACTTATAGATGTAAAGAATCAATGAGCTGTATTCACCCTGAAGCTGTGATACATCCTCTTGCCTTGACATTGCAGATATGTCAGTATTGAAAGGTATTATGACTATATACATATATTATCAGTATATGTGTGTATAACAGTATAAGCTTTTACTTTGTTGTTGTGTACCATTGAATTAGATCCAACTCCTAGCTGACCCTCCAGTGGGTTTCCAGAGACTGTAAATCACACGGAAGAATATTGCCCATCTTTCTCCCATGGAGCAGCTAATGGATTCCAACCATGTGCCTTTGGGTTGGCAACACAGCTCCTTACCACCAGACCACCAGAGGTCCCTAAGATTTTATTATTGTTGTTGTTGTGTGCTGTTGAGTATGTTGTTATGTGCTATCGAGTCACCTGCAACTCATAGTGACCTTAAACCCTGCCCCATCTTGAGCCAATCTCAGTGTCTCCTACACACCTACCCCCATCATCCCAGTCACTGAGTCAATCCACCTCATCATTAAGTGTACGTAGTGTTTATTCAAGGGAGCTCTAGTAACTTAGTGATAAGAAATTGCACTGTCAACTCAAAGTTACATGATTCATGTCCACAAGCAGCTCTGCAGAAGAAAGATAGGCAGTCTGGAGGACAAACTATGAGTAGGTTCTGACTCGACAGTACATAACAACAAAATCAAAGTGCTTATTCAGGTCCAAATTGGATGAGTTCTGTTTACCAAAAAGGGCAGAGAGGTGTCCATATATAAGGTAGGGAAATTTTAAAAGCTACTGAAACATTTTCTCTTCTTGCTAGGTGGCCACAAACCCTGGCTTTATCATTTATTGTTCCTCTGAGTGAGAGCAGCTACAGTGAATGTTTTGCTTTACTCTCTTAATTGTGCCTTTATTACATAGTTGGGGGGGACTTTTTACTTTTTGCCAATTATTAGTAGCCAGTTTTTTTCCTTTTTTTAAAGAAAGTTACTATAGTAAATGAGGGTTTTGCCTAGGGTTTTGTGATATTAAATGCTCTTATGAAGAACATGTCTAAAATTATGTATATGTTATTTTAATGTCAAGTGCATGCATCAACTTTAAAATCAGCGTAGGAAACTGACACACAGGCAGGAATCCTTTTCAGTGTCTGGATTTCCTGTTTTGAAAACATATTCAAAGTTGATCAACCAAAAGCCACAACCAATGTACTGATAGTTTCCTCCCTTGCTAAATGTATTCTCCTCTGGGGAGGAAGATGAGATGTCTAACAATAAGTCTCAGACATAAAAGGAAAATAGAAAACCCTGTTAACTAGTTATTAACAGTTAGGATAGTAAATTTCATTGCTTGAGCCGCTGAACATAGTATGGGCTGAAATTCACTTTCTTCAGCAAATCATTTTTTTGTATAAATTGTCATCCATTAGCCTAAATTAAATTCCTTGTGCAAGTTTTAAAATATTTAGGGACACAGACTTTTAAGAACTCTCAACCTTTTTAGAAACATCAGCTTTTATTGATGTGTTTAAAAAATATCTGAAGCTTTAGACTCCCTGGAAAACATCTAGTATGTATATGTTTGACAACAATAAAGTCTTGTTTATTTTTAAAATATTTTTTCCAATCCAGTGTGTTACATAAGTTAGATTTTATTTTACCTAGAGCATTCTAGAAGTGCATGTAAGAAAGTAAGGGAGTTAACAGTGTTTATGAGTATGGACCATAGAATCAAATGCCTGTAAACCAGCTGCACTCCAAGCAGAAGCCTGGCCCTCGCTCTTTTTTAGGAAGGCCTGATTCTGTGTCAGGTCTAGTCTAGTTTGACTTAGATTCCTAGTTTGTATCTGTGGTAGGAACCTAGCAGGGTAGAAAGCTTCAAAGAATAAATGTTCTGGTGGCATTTTGATACCTAGTGTCTATACCAGTGTTATTTCTCTAAAGGTTATCAAATGATTAACCATAGGAATTAGCTTTGAACTGTTTTCTGGCCTATCTCAAGAGTTATATTACTGGAGCATAGAATTTTAGAGACCCAGGGGACCTTTAAGATCATGTCATTCAAACATAGAGGAATGTGAAATTAAATTTGTATGTCCAATAATTTGTATGTCCAATAATTTGTCATATTGGATAAGAAATTAACATAATAGAACCAAGTAAATTTTTTTTTTTCAGTTTCTTTAAAACAAATTATTAATCTAAAGTAGATCAACTAGAAAAGAGACATATTACAAACTTGGGCCATTATATTCTAGAAATGGGGGGAAGACTTTCCTTTATTGGTATCCACTGCGCTAGCATATAAGCCACCCATTTTCTTACTGAGTCAAAAACCTTCATGAAAAGGGATAAATATCCTTAATACTAAAAGTATTTGGACAGTTTCAGAGAATTGTGTGTCCTGAAAAAAGCAGTTAACTGCTAAGAAAATATATCTGAATATATATTTTTTTCCCAAGATAAAAGCCCATATGTAACATGATATCACCTTGAGAATGAACTAAGTTTGCGAGGAGTTGTGAGTTAGGCCCCAAGAAATTTACCGTCATGATAAGTATTTTAGAGGCTGTGGAGTAGTTGGAAGGGAGGCTGGTGGTCTGGTCCTTAGGGAGCTGCCTGCTAACCCAAAGGTTAATCCTCTGGCCTTTCAAGTCCATCATGGGTTCTTCAGGGAGAAAAATGGGCACTCTTCTGTCATGTGATTTTACAACCTCAGAAACTTGCTGGAATATCAGCTATGAGTTAGTTCCAACTCAACAGCAATGAGGTTAATTAATTTGATTTGTGAAAGTTTATGAAGCTATTGCTTCCTTCCCTTCATATCTACTTCTTGTACTAACAGAACAGCTCCATTCCTTGTTGATAATGTTACCTTTGAATTTTCTGTTTTTATTCTAATAAATAAAATTTTCTGTTTTTATTCTAACTTTTGAATGAGATTAGAACTCTTAAAAGAAAAAGTTCCTGGGTATTCCATTACAGTTTGTTTATTAATTACTGAGGATATAGCCATTCAGTCGTTTTTCACTCAATAATCTGAAGCCAAGATACAGATGTAGATAGATGTTTAAGCCATCAAGAGCCCTGGTGGCATGATGTGTTGTTACATGTTACACTGCTAACCAGAAAATCAGCAGTTCAAGCCCACCACTTGCTCTGTGAGATGGGTGACAGTCTCTTCCTATAAAGACTTACGATCTCAGAAACTTAACGGAGGGTCACTGTGAGTTGGAAATTGTATTATTGGTTATACACCATACACCATGTGGTAGGCTAGACTAAACATGTTTTCATATTTTATGTCATTACTCACTACGCGATCTTATTGGTGAAGTTAGTAGTACTTCTAAGTCTAAGCTTAAAATAGAAATATGGTGGTTCTTAAACTTTCAGAAGTGGGCATACTATGCTTCAGCAAGACATAACCTTCATGAAGTATGTCTTCATGAAATGAGAATGGGGGAATGGTGCTTACTACTTTGGCAGCTGCTCATTTATCACCATGCTGACTTGGCCAGGCCTAAAGAGCAGCTTTGTTGACTGTCCTGTCTCCTCTCCTTCAGTCCACCTGGTAGGCCGCTGTGGTGGACAGGTGTTTGATTGCAGAGATGTGATATTCATTGTTGGCGAAGGAGAAGACCATGACATTCCAATTGGAATTGACAAAGCCTTGGAGAAAATGCAGCGGGAAGAGCAATGTATTTTATATCTTGGACCACGGTAAGCAGCATACAAGCTCATTACACAGTGAAGTCATCTACAGAACTCACATTTTCAACATTCACTTTTTTTCGGTGAAGGTAAATGGAAGCAGTTAAATCAGGCTACAGTTAGTTGTCAAGAGTGGACTAATAGGCCTTACAATCACAGAGATTGCAAAAAAGTGGCCATGTTTACTTGATTGATTATGTTGAGAATAGGACTGACAGGCAAATTTTGCTCTTTGGCTGCCTGCTTTGCTTTTATATCACTAACAGAGACAGTTACTGGCCCTTCTCACGTGATTCTTTTTTCTGTAAATGAAGGAGAAGGCAGTAAATCATATGGGGGTTGGAATAGAAGAAGCATCAGAGTGATTTATTGCCACTTGAATGTGTGCCAGCTGTTCCTATACAAAGCCCCTAAAAGAAGGGTGTTCCTTCTGCAGCCTGAAGTGACTCATTTGTATTTAAATTTTTTTCATCAGAAAGATAACCATTAGCACTTCTAAGATTAGAACTCTCAGACTCTTAACAGCTTCTCTCTTACGAAAACATATTTGGTATTAATTTTAGGTCTAAAATTATACCGTGAATCCAGCCCTTCTATCTTGAGAAATGGACCCTGGAGAGAAAGCAGGGTGTTTTGATTTTGTTTGTGTGAAAGTTTATCATCGTCTCACACAGTATATCCGCTCCTTGGTTGGCTCCATGGTGGAGTTCACTTAGAATTTGAGTCACTGAGAATCGATAGCCTGTACTTGGCAGTAGGCAGTAATACTGTCTTTTTTATAATTTGCCTTTGAGTAGTAATCCATTATTTTTTTTCTTGAGCCACTATGTTTAATCTCTCAAGCAAGAGATTAAATTCCTTCTAAATTCCTTTCTTTTAAATGATCTTTAAATCCCTTCCAAAATGCTCTACCCTGAACCATAAGGCTTTCCCTGAGCTACCTTTTTTTTTCTTCTCTGCCCTATTCCATTTTCCATTCTTAAGCTCTGCTTCAATGTGTTTTGCTTGCATGTACGCTATATTTGAAAAGCTATCGCCTCCATATATGAATAATAGCTAGTTTAATCTAGCTTTACAAAATTACATTCTAAACTTAAAGAGATGATGGGTTTTGGATATACAAAGTATGTTTCATAGTTAAGCTCCTTGAAGAAAAGTCACCTGTATACACTGTGAGTATATGTTATATGAACCAGGTCATTGTATTTTAACCTAACTGGCAAGGCAGCAACAGAGACAAATGCCTCAAAATTAATAGCAAAGAGAAACAAATAGCGCTGCTGCTGCAGCCCCTATTTGTCCTTATGTTTACAAGCAGATAGTTCCTTGCAAGGTTAAATTGTTATGTCATTAGTGAGTAAAGAAAATACAAGTAAGAAAGGATAACTTAATAGAGCAGAGACAAAAAAAGATTGTGGGTGAAAGGTGGCTCGATGAAGCTTTTAAGAGGTTTAAGGTAAAACATTTTGGAAGGATTTCCAAGAAGGTAATGACTTGACTGAGGAACTGTGGTAGCCTAGTCCACATGGAGTTGTACTGCTGACCCAGGCTTTCGTGGTTCATATCCACTAGTGAGTCCAAGGAAGAACAATGGGCATCCTCCTACTGTGCATTTATAGCTTTGGAATCCTAAGGGAAGGTCAGCTGTGAGTCAGGCCTGACTCAATGGCAGTGAGTTAATGGCACAACTAAATTCTGCTGTGCAACTTGCCAGCTCTGTGTACTCGGACATTCACTCTTCTGAGTCTCAGTTTCCTCTTCTATAGAGTTAGAATGACAGTATCAAACACATAAAGTTGTGAGGAATTAAATAAGATAATACACTCAAAGTATTTATTATGGTGAAGCACCTGCCACATTTAAGAACCCAGTATATTGGCTCTTACTGTGATTTTTTTTTTAATTTCTTCTGTTTTACCCTCAAATCAAAAAAGGAAATCCTATTTTAACATACAATATATTTTTCAGATCCTTCTTGGGAAATTTTCAGTCATCAAAGTAGTCAAGTTTTCAGAATTTTCTAGGTGTAACAATTTTTCATTTGTTTTGTGAAAATGATTGAACAGAGTAAGGGAAGAGTGCATTGCTGTTTGCTTAAGATGCTAGTTAGAATGCTAAAGGGTTGTGTAAAGCACCTGATCTATAGTGTGAGACTGTTCGAGCAGCGCAGTATAGCATGATGGGCAGATGCAGAAAAGCCCTTATATGTCGAACATACTTTAAGAACATGCCGTGAATAGGCCAGTCTTACTCAGACTCTTAGTTATCATAGAAGAGTGCATCTGAATGAGGCTGTAAATAAATACAGGTGTTGAAAATACAAGATCTGAATTGCTTTTTAGTGTCATCTTTATTTCTTCTCCAATAAATTTGTAAAGTGCATCTTCTCTTTGCTTCTCTGACTCTGATTAGTCTCTAAAGCTCATTCCAGTTGGCAGGATGTTTTTATCATAAGAAATTCAGAAACACATCCAAAAACTCCAGAAATCACCAAGAACCTATTTTCTGTCTCTTCATCAGGACAATATCTTCTCTTTTTATTGTTTCAAATACTGGTTGATTAATCTTTTTCATTTTAGATAAAATTATGGCTATTTTTTAAACTTGTCCTTTCTGTAATGTTTCTGCCTTGCTCTGACAATTCCTCATAAAAAAACCCCAAAAATGGCCACAGGCTACCAAGGTCGACAGAGTGTCTAATTACGAGGCAACGTTAAGCCTTTTTCTGGGAACATACAGGATCTGGATTTAAGTCCATGCCCTGCCACTGCCTCTTTTTGTGGCTTTCAGGAAGCATTTCTCTCTGAACTTTAGTTTTCATCCCTAAAAAGAAATTAACAACTCACAGTACAAGTATGCTTTTTGTATACTCATTAAAGACTTAATGAACATTATAGTCAATATTTACAGTATTGCTGCTGTCTGGAGGGAACTGTAGTTCAAGGACATTCATTCTGAAGACCTGGAATTCTGTTTATAGTGGTTTATTTTTCACTTAGCTGGATTTGTGTGCCGTGGTCCTTACCTAGGCTGATTTAGCATATGTAAGATAACTTTTTGGAAGGAGGAGTGGCATCCACTTCCATAATAGCTTGCCTCCAGAAACCCTATGAACCTGGAGAGAGGATGAAAGGCACCCAAGTGTCAAGGACTCTCCTTCATAGGGTCGCTATGAGTCGCCTGCGACTCAACGGCACTTAACAACAACAACAAGAAGGTAACTTTATGTGTGGTACAGAAGTTGGCTTCGGTGCTTCCAGAACCATTTGAATGAACATAGCCTGCCCCCAGATGATGACAGGATGTCTTCTAAGAATGATTTTATCTAGGAATGATTTTGTAAAGTTTTCTTTTTTATTCTTCTTCAATCCCATTGATAACCATGATGCTTTGGCATCTCCCTTAACCTGAACCCCACTACCTATATTTCCAAGGTGAAATTCCTCATCCTTGGCACTACTGACTTACATTAGAAAAACCAAACCAGAATGGGGAGCTCTCGTGGCCTAGTGGCAAGAACCTGTACTGCAATCCCAGAGCTGGAGAAGGAGGGGCAATCTCCTCCTGTACCAGTCAAAACTAATTTGATGGTACACTCCAAAAAAAAAAATGATGATAATAATTAAAAAAAAAACCAAACACAAACCAGTTGCTTCTAGTTATTCAGTATTTACTGACACACTAAAGCCAAACCAAATCTACTGCTGTTAATGATACCAACTCATAACAGGCTATAAGACAAGAGTGTAACTGCCCCATAGAATTCCGGAGTGACTCCACTTCCTAAACAGCATGCCTATGGAAACTCTATGAACTTTGAGAAACGATAATAGTTATAGAAAGGCTTCATGTATTTTGTTCATAGGGTCGTTATGAGTCATACTCGACAGCAGTCAACAACAATACAACAATCTTTATAAAAGCAGAGTGCCAGATTTTTCCTCTGTGGTGCATCTGGTAAATTAAGACCACTGGCCTCTGGATTCTTAGCTTAGTGCTTTAAACCACTATGCCGCCAGCAGTCATTATTGATACATCAGACTAGATAATTCTTTGTTGGATGTTTAACAGCATCCCTGGCCTCTATTCACTATATTCCTATTGTAATAGTAAAAAATGCCTCTATTTATTGCCAAATGTCTGTAGAATTGGAGACCAAGTATTCCAGTTGAGAACTACTGGTATAAATCATGTCCCAAATCATCTGTTGCATTTCTTTGTGCTTAGCACAGAGCTCCAGATATTACTTGCTCTCAGGAAGCACTTGCTTCATAAGGACTCTTTTATCTGCCTTCGGGAGCTCTGGTGGCCTACTTGGTAAGGAGTTAAGCTGCTAACCTAAAGTCCGCTCCTGTCTGTCAGTTCCATCCATCCACCAGTGGCTCTGCAGGGAAAAGATGGGCAGTCTCCTTCTGTGCAATTTACAGCCTTTGAAAACCCCTGAAGGGTCAGCCATGAGTTGAGTCTGACTAGACAGCAATGCATTTGAGTTTTTACCTATCTTAGTTCCCAACAGTTGAGGAATGCTCTTTACCAGATGGGCAAAAACAAAATAAGAGGTCCGTGGACCTAAGAGCTCAAAGTAGAAAACTAGTTGTCACTTCCTCAATTCCTAAAACTGATCACTGGTAATTATATAGTCTCTTTCTTTTATTTTCTTGATGAAAATACCTTTTATTCTGCTATTAAAATCATCATACCCCCTTCCTACCTTCTCATTGTACCTCTGTGCCTCTTTCTGGCTCTGGTTTACCTTTTCTTATATAACAGTGGAGGTGAGTGAGCAAGCATCAAGCATTTTGTTCCTGGAAAATTTAGGTAGGGGGTAAAGGAAGAGGTGTCAGCAACAAGATCGGAGTCTGTGTGTCTTCTCACTCTTAAATTGTTTGGGTTTGGGGTTTTGCCTCTGAGAATATTGGAGGCAATTGGCATCAGCTTGGTTTTCATATCTTTCCACTCATGTCTTGAAAAGAGAGAAGGGAAGCCTTGTATGTCCCACATGCTTTGTAATATATGTCAAAGAGTAGTTCAGTTTAAAATGAATGGGAATAGACTCTATTCCAGTGAGCATTGTTCATTATTCTAGATGCTGGGAAACCAGAGATCAATATAGATCCTACTAGAGCTCCCACTCTAGATGTATAGTCCTTGGATTCATTTAATTTGGTAAATATTCTTAAAACAAGCAAACATTTACATATCCCTAATTATTTTGTTCCATAAGTTTTGTCTGAAAGATGTCGTGTTTTATAAAAAATGTAAAGACTGGAAAAAGTAAAAAAAATTATCTTGGTTGAGGATTCTGGAGTTGCCTGTAATTTTTACTTTTTTATTCTATGCTTGTTACATTAGTTACGTTTTCTAATGTGCTTTTTCTAAATCTTAAGAGAAATATTGTGAGAATGTTTCTCTCTTCTATGCAAGCTTTCTCCTTCACTTATCTGACTGCAAGATGTACTATTGGAAGATGACACCACTTTAAAATGAAAACATAATCTCTAGCAAACACTGTTAGAACAGTTACTGTGGCTGTGCTTTTCTCTGTTCCCCCTGCTAATAAAGCATAAGAGAAGAGTTTAAATAATGATTGTTTTACATATTAAAAAAGAAGTAGATATAAAACCAAGCAGAATAAAGACAATGACTTTTAAAATCACACTAAGCAAACTGTCCCAGAAACTACACGTGTTTCATTGCAAATGAATGTGGAAGAGAAAGGAAAACTAACTCAAGCCCCGCATTAAACAAAAAAAAAACCCCAAAACAAACCCTCAAACAACACTACAGCAATGGTATTTGGCTCTGTGTCTTCTGATCAACATCTGGTTTGTCTTCAGCATCTCTTATGTGTGTAGCTTGCAGATGACAGCTAAAGAGATGCCTCAGAGTATCTAAGGAAGTGCCTGGAATTAAACCAATTCTTTTAAAGTTTTCTTTTTTATTCTCAATTTCAGATACGGATTTGGAGAGGCAGGCAAACCTAAATTTGGCATCAAGCCTAATGCTGATCTTATATATGAAGTTACACTTAAGAGCTTCGAAAAGGTGAGACAATACAAATTATCTGAAGTAATCTGAAACCATGGTGGATTTTTATTCCATCCACTTCCAAAAATTAGTATATTACTAGGTATTTCAGATTGTGGTTGTTTTGTTAGGTGCCTTTGAGTTGACTACAGCTCATAGCAATCCTGTGGCAACAGATTGGAGCCTTGTCCTGTCCAGCACCATCCAGTGTTAGTTGTATGTTGTGCTTTTCATTGTCAGCTTTGTCTTTTGTGTCTGGCGCAACGAAGAATATGGAACTACTGACACAGCACAGCTGATACATAACTGGAAAACTCGGTGTTATTTTGTTCCTATGTGTCAGCCTTTTTTCTTTTAGAAAAAAAACACCCAACTTTTTGAGTAAAATCCAAGACTTGTTCTCTTATTTGTTCCTAGACTTGTACTTTTTGTACTTTCCCCACCATCTCCCCTGGATTGAGGACAAAAGGTTTATGATCTGCCAAGCAGCTCCTGCGGGAGTGGGGTGCAGTTTTTGAATGCTGAGTGGATTTCCACCCTTTATAGGAGTCATGAAATGGCCTTTAATGCTGCTCCAAGTCATTATCCAATATGCAGAACCTCATGGGCTAGGAGGCTCTGTGTAAAGACAAAAGATGCATAGCAGGGGAGCTCTGGTGGCCTAGTGGCAAGGAGCTGCAACTACAATCCCAGAGGCACATGGTTCAAATCCACCAGATGCTCTGCCGGGAAAAGGAGGGACAATCTCCTCCTGTACCAGTCAGATCTGATTTGACGGTACACTCACACAAAAAAAAATTTAAAAAAAAGATGCATAGCCTTGTGCTTTTTCCTTACACATCTAAGTGCAGATAAGAGAGAGTTTGCCACTCACCTTAGGTCTTGGAAACATTATGCCTCCTTGAGCAAATTTGTATCTTGGGCCCCCAGCTGCAAGTTCCCAGCCACTGTTGAATTGGAAAAGCACAGAGCTTATGCCTGAGCTAAGAATGCTGTCATTTAGCTGAACTGCCCCCCTTACTGCTAGAACCCCTCAAGTACTGTGTTTTGTATTCATTTTTTTTAATTGTCTCTCAGGGCTTATCTCCATGTTTTGTACAATAAGACCTAAGGAACTTACCTTTTATATTTTATTAGACTCAGAATTAGAATCATTGTCCTCTGGACCTAAGAAAGTGAGGGAAGGATGCTTTGGAGATCGCCCAACAATGATGATTCTAATTACACACCTCATGTTTCCCAGGGCAAACATATGCTCTTAACAGATCATCACTGAAGGCCACTAGCTCAATGCTGATCCTCTATTGCTGTCTTCATGGCACTTTTTTTATTGTTAAGAAAAGAATCATTTACATATGCTTATTTAGACCTTTTGCTTCCTTATTTCCATTTTATAAATAACACCCTGGCACCTCCCAGTCACAGCCAGTGGACACACACAGTTTAGGAGCCTATCCGCTGTGGTGGACCACATGAGCCTGCTCTGAGCATATTCTACCCAGCCATGTTTTCTGTCCTTGAAGCCATGTGGGATGTGCAATGTTGTTGGAGGCAGTAAGATTTCATTTGCTGCCTTGTAGGATTAAGTATATTTTTAAATTTTATAAAGATTGAAGCCAATATGAAAAATGCGAAGGAGTAGATTCCATAATTAAGCTAAATTTTTAGGAAACAATATGAGGTTGTGCCTGAAAGATAAATACCCTTTTATAATTTCTTTTTAAAAGGAAAAGAGGGTAGAAGAATAAAGGGGGAAAGGCTGTGACAAAAATAAACCATTATGTTTTTAATTAAAAGTCTTACAGTTACCCACTAAACTGCATAATCCATAATATTGGCCATACCTGTAACCACTTTCCTTCAAGGATCCCGGATTTTCCCGTTGACACTTAAAGATCCTTGTAACTCCAGTTGATCATATGGAAAGTGCAGTTTACTCCGCAGTTATGGCTCTGATACTATCAATTAAGTCATTTATTAATGACCCTAAAGTTAAAATTTCTGCATCACCTAGAATTTTGAAAATTCTGTATGAATATGAATTTTTGCACTAATAGTGTTCCCATTTTTTATTTGAAAAACTAAAGCTTAAGAAAAACAGCTTACTGAAGTGTAGTAGCAGATTAAAACAAGAGATTCGCAAGAGGAAAACACAGAGCCCTAGGTTTCCTTGAGAAAGCTCTAGTGGCCTTGTGGGTAAGGAGTTGCATTGCCAACCTAAAAGGCACGTGGTTTGAATCCACCAGCTACTCTGCAGGAAGAAGATGGGCAGTCTCCTTCTGTGTGATATCCAGCCTCTGGAAACCTACTTTAGTGTTAGCTATGAGTTGGCTGTTACTTGTTAGCACAGTGCAACCACAGCTTTTCTTACATGGCACACTCTACAATGCAATTTGTGTTTCATACCATAGTTTTGTCTGCTCCTCTCACTTGGACAACATGAGTCAGTTGCAGCTATGTCCTCATATAAAGTGAAATCTTGAAACAATGTAAAGTGCACACTAGTCTAGCCATGAATTATCAATGGTGCAGTTTTAAAAGACAGCATGTTTTGAAGGGGGGCTAGATAAAAGTAGCTTCTGTTTGTTCTTTATGTGATGCTTTTCCTTCTCTAACTATTGTCACAAATTTGCACACAGGCCAAAGAATCCTGGGAAATGGATACCAAAGAAAAATTGGAGCAGGCTGCCATGGTCAAAGAGAAGGGAACTGTATACTTCAAGGTACGTTAGTCCCTCCCTGGACAATATAGCCAACTTAATTTGAGTCAATGTCACTGAAGTGTCAATGAATTGTATCAATATTCTGTACTTGGAATTCTACCAGTATCCTTCTTGATAAGAATAAGCTTGCGTTTTCACAGATTTATCATTTCCATATAAGAAATGGTAGGGAAGAATGACTAATTAATGTGGCTAAGCATAACACAAATACCTCTTTTACTTACTCTCTCTAAAAGCTGGCCTTGCTTTAAAGGCAGACCGTGTCTGACTTGCCCACCCACCACTGTGTCCCTCAAGGCCTATTGCATCTTCCTTATTACATAGTTGGCATTCATCAAGTGTTTGTGGAATGAAAGAATGAATAGCATAATTGTTAGCAAGTAATAGAATTGACTAGGATAGGTTTCACATAGCTTTCCTTTCCACTGTCTGGTGAGATCACTGAGGCACATGACAGAAGGAAAGAGAACATGACCAATTTCAAAAGAAACAATAGAAGAGTATTAATTTCTTTTAATGACTAATATCCCTGACACACTTTCTTTTTTTGAAGAGTCTTCAGAAAAACTCTCTTGAGTATTCATCACAAATTGTTTTCTTAAAACCTTTTTTGTACTTTTATGCCATCTGAGACTATATTTCTCACTTACATATATCTTAAAGCATCATACGTAAGGCAAAAAAAAAAAAAGAAATGATGCTAGAAGAAAAGTGCTCTATCCTTTCTTTGCCTCCAAATATTTGCTTCTCTCCTTATCAGATAGGAAAGATACAGTAAGGTGGAGCATTAGAAAGAGGATAGACTTTGTTTGTCTTGCTTTTTGTTTGGAAATTAGATGATGTTTTTCTGACATGGGGTATCTGCTGTGTATGATCAGTCCTAATACAGCCATGGAGCAACATGTATGGTTCTTCTTTTTGAAACATTGAAGGGAGATCCATTATTGGGTCATGAAGTCATTTTAGTGGAAGTAGATTGCTTTATAATGCTTTATTTCTTAAAACATTTTTTTGGTTGTATGAAAGAGTTGTTGTTATGTGCCATTGACGTATTACCAAGAGATTTATTGCTGACCCTCCAGAGGATTTCAGAGACTATAAATTACAGAGGACTAGAATGCCTATCTTTCTCCCGTGGAGCAGCTGGTGGATTCGAACCACCTACCTTGATTTGCCCACAATTTAAAGGTAGTATTTCTTACTATGGACAAGGTTGGGAAAGTTTGAAATATATTGATGTAGATATTTGTATTTCTTTATATTTTTTAAATTTATTTAAACATTTCATACACCAGAAAGCGCTGGAGTGATAGAATCCACTTTTAGGCTTTCCAAATTATTTAAAGTTCAAAATGGTTATGTTTTCATGTGAAAAGTGAGGGAAAACCCTAGGTTTCATTCCAGTCCTACAATTCTGTCCGATTCTAAATGCTCCACCATTTTTTTTTCTATAATTATATTTTATTAATTTTCATAAACATTTACAGAGATTTTGGG